TTTAAAAGGGGCGCTAGAAACCCCCAGGAGGAAGAAACAAGGAATACCACTGGCAGCTTTGCCACAGCCTGGCACAGCATCCCATCCCAGCATTCCAGGGCAGAGCAGCCAGCTGGGAAGAAGGAATGCAATGTCTCTGGCACCACGTGGTGGAGCCCCACGCCTTCCTCTAGGATTCAACGAGCAAAAGTTTACATCTCACCTGGATATCCTGCAGAATCATTGCTTTCAGGGCTCTGGAAAATAGAAAAGATGGACTCCATTGTTGGCTCCATCTGGAAGAGGAGAGGAGACGCGGAGTGTGAAACCTTTTCCAGGCTGATGAGAGAAGAGGGAGGGGGCAGACAGCGTTTCAACACATTTTGGCAGTGCCCAGCCTCAAAGGGGCAAACCAGAACATGGGAAATGAACACCTCTGGGCAGAGAGGGAAGGGAGCTCTCGGGAAAGACCTGGAGTTTGGTGAGCTGCAAACTTAATCCAGAGACCAGTGCGATAAAAAGCACCTTTTCCCACCTTCAATGTCCCTGGGAAACACCAACCAACACGAACTCCCACCCACCTCTCAGTCTCCACACCGCCCCGCACCCTTTATCCGCCGGGAGCGGCTCCTTCCCGCCGGGGCCGCTCCGCCCCCTCCCCATCCCAGGGGGCTCCGGGACCCGCTCCCGGCGGTGCCGGCTCATCCCTGCCCTCCCACCGGGGCTGTTCCAGGGCCTTGGCCCTCGCAGGGCCTGCTGCTGGTTGTGCCCAGTGCCGGCGGCTCTTCCCGGCAATCCCAGCGCTCCCGCCCGCGGGGAACGGGTCCCCCGGGTCCGCCTGTGGGTCCCCCCCGGCCCGCGGGGAACGGGAGCACCGGGCGCTCCTCGGGATCGCCCGTCGGCACCGACACCGCCTGGGAATACGGCGGGAGCTTTTCCTTGGCTGCCCTGCGTGGTGCCCTCCCGTGACTTCGTGGTTCCATCCCCGCGGCTCTGTCCACGGTCCTCCCTGGGTTCACCCGCACGGAGCAAATACGGAGCTCCGTGTCCCTGTTGGGGACGGACAGTGTTCTGCAGAAGTGCTGGATTGTCTCCACGGGCTTTCGTGCCTGCTGGGTGCAGCTTGGCAAGTGGAATCACAGGGCGGGTCAGGCTGGAAGAGACCACAGTGGGTCATCTGGTCCCACCTCCCTGCTCCAGCAGGGTCATCCTGGAGCACATGGCACAGGATTGTGTCCAGATGGTTCTGGAATATCTCCAGGGAGGGAGACTCCACACCCTCTCTGGGCAATCTGTTCAGTGCTCAATCACTGCACAGCAAAGTTCTTCCTCAGGTGGAACTTCCTGGGCATCAGTTCCTGCCCGTGGCCTCTTGTCCCATTGCTGGGCACCCCCGAGCAGAGCCTGGTCCATCCTCTGCCCCCTCCCTGCACACACTGACACACATGGATGAGGTCCCTTCTCCAGGCTGAACAGCCCCAGCTCCCTCAGCCTTTCCTCCTCAGGGAGATGCTCCAGTCCCTGAATCATCTCTGCAGCCTCTGCTGGACCCGCTCCAGGAGCTCCATGTCTCCATGTGTAAGAAAGGAAGGACAGCAAAGAGGAAGACCTGCCTTGTGGCAACAGAGAGAGAACATGCAGCAGCCACTGCTGCAGTGACAGGACCTGAAGCTCGAGAGCTCAGAAAGGAATGAGAGGCCCTTGGACATGGTGGTCATTCTTCCACATGGAGTTTCAGGAACTACCACCCAGCAGTGCCTCTCCCAAGCCACTGGGTTCCCTGGGCGGCTGCAGGAGCTATGGGTGCGATTCAACAGTTTACAAAGTCATGACACTGCAAATTTATGTGGGTTAAATAAATAATTAAACTCATGTTAATTTACAGAACTCCTTGTGTGTATATGTAGTGTATCCTTGCTAACAAAAAAAAAAAAGGGTTATTTCATGGAAAGATTATTCTTATTTTAAGCTTTCTGAATCTTCAGCACACAATGAGAATCAATCTCTCCTTCAGAGAGGAAAGCCCTTTAAAGGTATGCCTACAAAATATGATTAACATTGCTTACTTAATTCAAATTTGCTCACTTGGTGATTTAGACTATGATTAAAATTCTTATGAATTATTTTGGTGTTAATTAAACTACTGTAAATTATTCACAACAAGCCATCCCCTAGCCTTTTATTGCTGTTATCCTGATGACGCTCACCTCTGTGAGTATTATATTTCAAAGATTTAGCGATGTGTCCCTGGCCATCTTCCCAGCTTTTCCTTACCCAGGGAGTGACTGGATTCATTTCCATTTCCTTCAGCTGTGCCAGTCCGTGGAAGTATGTATTCTGAGCAACAGAAATAACACATTCCCAAAGAGCTACAGGTCCTTTTCTGTTTTTCATATGCATTCCCTTTGTGCCTCCACCCTCTGTGAGGTCAAGGTTGTCCTGTCCTAGGATCAGCATCTTCTTTTGCATTCGCATGTAAATATTAACCTAATATTTCTATCTCTGTACTCCTTACAGCTGCCTTACTGACAATTTTATCCTAGGTTCCATCTTCCCTACCTGTGATTATTTCCCAGGTCTCCAGATGGCAGAGAACAAGCTGAACACAATTGCTACCACATTTTCCCCATTTACCAGTTGCTCCTTAAGATTGATTTTTGAAGAGTTTAAGCTGAGCTTTCTCACAGCCCCTGTGAAGGACTTCAGCAAAGGCTTTCTCCTCTTCCAGCTGACTATACCGAGAATGCTGTGGGTATGGAGTTCACTGGTCCTTCCTCTTGTTTTTCCATCTTGTGGGACACATCTTCCTAATTTTCAGAACTTAATTTCTCTCCTGCAGTGGCTAATTCTCCAAGGTCAACACCTAACCTCAACGAAGCAGCATTTGGGTAAAAATTCTGACAGAGCCATTTAAAAAGGGCTGGGAATAAATCAGAAGACAATTCTGCATGGATGGTGGGGACAACAGAACTGTTTTCCCACCATATCAGGTCAGACAGTAAAGTTTTAAGTTTGTTCAGGGACCCCAAAGCACAAAAAAGACTTTTGTTTCTTCGGTTTTGAATAACTGTGAAAAACATAAGCATTCAACTTTGATTATTTAAAAATTATAGTAAATTTTTAATGGATATTCAGGCCAAGTGCCAGTTCAGGTTCAGCAAACCTTTGTATCCCAAGCTAAAAATAGGTGTGTCCCATTCTCTTGGTTGACTCAGTACTCTCAAATGATGTGACTCAGCTGTATGAAAGTCTCATGAAAGTTTATGTTTCTTTCTTACCTTTTGGTAAGTCCAAATTTTTAATTTTTTTTTTTTTTTGCCATGTGCTCTGAGTTTCATCAAAACAGCCACCATTCCTCATTTATAGAGCAGTTTGGGAACATGTCAGGTGTTGAAGTTTGGGGATTGCAGAATGGTTTGGGTTGGAGGGGACCTTCAAAGATCATCTAGTCCTGCCAGAGACAGTGACACCTTCCACTACTATGTGACCAGTGTTGGAATGGCACCTGGTCAGCCACCTGCTCCAGCCTCTCCTTGTTCCTTCCCAGTCCTGAATGGGGCATGGCACAGGGCAGGGCCCACACCCTGGGGCAGTAGGGACAGAGGGATCTGGACAGGCTGGATTGATGGGCTGAGGCCAGTGGTATGAAGTTCAACAAGGCCAAGTGTTGGGTCCTGCACTTCAGCCATAACAACCCCCTGCAGCTCCAGGCTGGGGCAGAGGGTCTGGAAAGTGCCCAGTGGGAAAGGCCCTGGGGGTGCTGGTGACAGCAGCTGGACATGAGCCCAGGTGTGCCCAGGGGGGCAAGAAGCCAATGGCACCTGGCTTGGATCAGCAATACTGTGGCAGCAGGACCAGGGCAGGGATTGGTCCCCCTGTACTGGGCACTGGTGAGGCCACACCTCAAATCCCATATCCAATTCTGGGCCCCTCACTGCTGGAAGGAAATTGAGGGGCTGGAAGTGTCCAGAGAAGGGAACAGAGCTGGGGAAGGGTCTGGAGCACAGGTCTGAGGAGGAGCTGGTCAGAGAGCTGGGGGTGTTTAGCCTGGAGAGGAGGCTGGGGAGGGACCTTATCACCCTCTAAAACTACCTAAAAGGAGGTTGTAGCCAGGTGGGGGTCGGGCACTTCTCCCAGGCAGCCACAGACAGGACGAGAGGAAACGGCTTCAAGCTGCACGAGGGGAGGTTCAGGTTGGACATCAGGAAGAATTTCTTCACAGAAAGGGGGGTCAGGCATTGGAAGGGGCTGCTCTGGGAGGTGGTGGAGTCACTGGCTGACAAGGTGGTGACCGGTTACAGGCTGCACTCGCTGATCTCAGAGGTCTTTTCCAACCTGACTGATTCCGTGATTCCATGACCGTATCTCTGTGACAGCGCCCCGGGCGGGGCCGGGCCGGGGGGCCGGGGTCGGAAGGGTTACACCGGGAGCCGCTGGAAGCACCGGCGGGGCGGGACCGCGCGGGGCCACCTCCCACTGCCTGCTCCCGGAGCCCCCCGGTCGGGCTTAGCCCAGCCCGGCCCAGCTGGGTCCCAACCGGGCCCGGCCCAGCTTTCCCGGGCTGTGCGGTCCCGCCGGGCCGGGGCCGGGCTGCGTAGAGGGTTTCCCGATGGAGGGGGCGGGATTCCCGATGGAGGGGGCGGGTCGGGAGGGCCGGCCGGGCGTGCGCCGCCGATCCGCAGCATTCCCGCCCCGTCTCCTCCTGCCCCGCCCGGCTCGACCCGGCCCCTCGGGAGCGTGTGGGTGACACTGGGGGAGGATGGAGCCGGTCCTGACGCCGCCTCCGGTGCCCTGGAGCTGGGATGGGCCGGGTGGGAGGACGCAGCACTTGGCGGGGCCGTGGAGAGGAGCGGGAGCGGACCTTGACTGAACACGTCGGTGTGTCTGGAGCATCCTTGTGTCCCGGCAGGTGATGGGAGCATGAGTGGCAGTGAGGGGGATCTCCAGCGGGATGGGCTGGAGGCAGCCCAGCCCTGTGGGGACTTTTTCAAGAGGGCAGCTTCTCCTCCGGGCTGTGACGGGGACGTGTCCCTTCTCCCAGACACCGGGATGGAGAAGGCTTCTCGCCGCGGTTTCCAGAGGCGCAGGGATGCTGTGGTGCAGCATCGGGTGCTCTGGGGAAGAAGCCCTACATCTGCTTCGAGTGCTTCGGCCGCAGCTCCGACCTGACCCGCCACCAGCGCATCCACAGCGGGGAGAGGCCGCATGTGTGTCCCGACTGCGGCAGGAGCTTCGGCCGCCGCTCCCACCTCATCCAGCACCGGCCGTACCCGTGCCGGCACTGCGGGAGGAGCTTCAGGCAGAGCGCGCAGCTGGTCCAGCACCAGCGCAGCCACACCGGCGAGAGGCCTCACGTCTGTGCCAAGTGCGGCAGGAACTTCTACCAGAGCTCGGGGCTGCTCCGCCACGCCAGCTCCCACTCCGGAGAGAAGCCCCAGAGGTGCCCCCAGTGCGGGAAGGGCTTCGGCGACAGCTCCAACCTCACCGCCCGCCAGCGGCTCCACACCGGAGAGAAGCCCTACAGGTGTGACGACTGCAGCAAGTGCTTCAGGGAGAGCTCCAAGCTGCTCATCCACCGGCGTGTCCACACCGGGGAGAAGCCCTACCTGTGCCCGGACTACGGGAAGGGTTTCAGCCAGGGCTTGCACCTTGTCCAGCACCATCGCACCCACACTGGGGAGAAGCCCTACAAGTGTGCCGAGTGTGGGACCGGCTTCGGTGACAACTCCACCCTCATCCGTCATCGTTGGACCCACAGTGGGGAGAAACCGTTCCAGTGCTCCCACTGTGACAAGAGCTTCACTCGCCACTACTACCTACTCTCCCACCAGCAGGGGCACACGTGGTAGGCAGCATCCCTAGGTGTGCTCTGGGTGTCATCCAAGGTCATCCTGGTCCAGGCCTGTCCAAAATGTGCCTGAGGTAGAAGGGGGTGGACAAGGGTGTCACTACACCAGGTACAGATGGACAAAGTAATGCCTTTGGCCCACGTTGCCCTTTTCAGTCACCTCCTCCCAGCGCACCCTAGGCATGGACAGAAAGAGTGCAGAGGTTGCAGTGGGTAGTTCTGTGTCCCAAGGCCGCATCCTCCTCTTTCCCTGGTACTGGAATCAGATGCCACCTGCCACATGGCCAAGGTGCAGATGTTTTGTCACACCTCTGGGTGTCTGCCCCTTCACAACAGCTCTCAGAGCGTTTATTTTCCTTCCTACATGCTTTGTGAAGTGCTGTGTGTACTTAGCAGTGCTCTATAAATTAAAAGGGTTGACGTGCATTTATTTCTGAGGTCTTTATTAACTTATTCTAAACTATGCCAAATCACAGTGGCCTTAGGGTTCCCAGCTGTTCACTAGCAGCTAGGATTGGACTGCTCACCAGTGTAAGCACATTACTAGAGTTCCTTTCCACATCCATTGTTGGTTTTCCCTGTTCAGTGTCACTTGGCTGAAATAATTCATTTCCCCTGGCCTGGCTGCCCTTTACTGCTTGTGCTCATGTAGCTTGAGAGGAGAATCTGGGTACCAACTCTTCTTTTGCTGCTGCAGAAGCTACAGGGTATGTTCCTCTTCTTCCAGGGATTTAATCACTTTGCGGGCACTGATGAGCCAAATTCAGAAGGTACTGGGAATGTGCAAAAAGGCAAGAACCAGAAGGCTCCCTCTCACAGCAGCCAGCTTGCTGGCTTCTCTGTCAGCCCTCTGCTCCCCCAAGGTCATAGTGGGAAGCTACTGGAAAATGCAAATTAGCTGCTGTAATTCCAGCAGACCATCCCTAGCACACCTCATCCCACACTTGTGGTCACCAGCTGGTGCCCAGATGCTCCCACCAGCTGTGGGAGCTGTGTAGAATACTGTAAATTCCTGGTGTGTTTAAAAACTGCAGTGGGACTGTAGCACTTCGGAAATACCTAAGGTAGACAAATGGATGAATGACGTCTCTGAAATAAAATCTGTCACCTTGGTGTTCTTTGTTATCTCATCTGTTTCCCTCCCTCCTTTCCTTCCCTCCCTTTTGTCTTTCCCTTCCCTTCCTTCCCCTCCTTTCCTTTCTCTCTGTCTCCCTAGAGTGACCTCCTGGGCATCAACTTCTTGTCCCAAGAATCCGGAGTTTGAGGGATATTCTTAGAATTAGTCTTTATTTTCTAACATTTCTGCAAGAATCTGAAAAGCCAGAGGAGGGCACTCCTTGCTCACCATTCCTTTATGAGAGAAAGTGGTTTGTCTTTTTTACTCTGCAGTGACAAACCATCCTAGTGGTACCTGAACCTGGTTCTAGCAGAGCTGCAGCTGTTCTGAGGAGATTATTTTCCCAGTTCTTCCACCTGAGTTATATGGGATCCAGTTTTCCAGTTTTCCCTGCTGAAAAATATACATGGAACAGTGATCACTGAAATACGGCTGCTTTTACTCTCGAATTCTTCTTTGCTTCATTATTTGTGGCTGGGAAAACAGATTTCTTTTGATCTTGGAAAAGAGGTGTGTTTTTTCTGTGTTTAATAAATTTTAATAAGTATTTTACGTGTTAGCTCTAACACATTTTTTGAGATACATCAAACAAACAAAAGTGTCCCTGCATGCACTGAAGACTCATTTTTCTGGCTGTGCTTTCCCTTTACCCCAACAACACTGGTCTAACTAGCCAGAGACACAACAGGAGGAGCCTCCATCTCTGAAAAAAAAAAAAAGGAAATACAGGAAATTTCAGGAAACAGAGCAAAGGGAGGCTAAAAGAGGCATTGCTGGAGTACTTTGCTTTGCTGCTTACACTTTTGTGTCCCAGGCTCTGCAGGGCCTTTACCCTTTCCATGCCAACCCTGATGAAAGTATCTGTTGATTAAAGCAGGACATACCAGGTCCAAACATCCTCATGGATGCAAAGATGTGCAAACTCATGTGTTTCCTTGTTTCCAAGGGACTTGTCCAAACAGCCATAGGGACAGGCTGTTCAAAATAACTCTGCCACCACAGCAAACCCTGTGGTGGACTTAGTTGGACTTACTTTGTTTTGCTTTCCAGAGCTCTTGCAATTGCTCTGCTGCTGGTCATGTGCTGCTTTGGGCATTGCCTGCTGTGTCTTTCCCTCAAGCTGACCTTCCCCACAGCCTGCTGAGCTCTGCCTGGCCCTAGTTCAGGTGTTTGTGCCCTCCCATCTTTAAGCACAGAACCACAGAGGAGGCTTCTCTGTGTCGCTCCCTGTTCTGTCAGAGTTTCCCCTCACAAAAGAGCAGCCTCACCTTGCTTACCCCAAATCACCTCAAAGGATGCAGAACTCTGCCTTTACAGATGGCAGAGCTTTGGACAGGCCTATGTTATGTCCTTGGACTTTCCTTTTCCCAGCCTTAGCAGATCTTTCCTAGTACAGGGACTGAGAAGTTTCTTCCCACAGCTCTGCACGTGGCTGTTGTGCTTAAGAAGATGCCTCTTTGTTTTCTTTTCTTGCCTGATTTCTTTAACAGTTGACCTTTGATTTCTCTCCACCTTCAGGCAGGCAGAAATACCAAGCGAAACAGGAAAAACAGAGTTTACATGTAGTGTGCATTAGAGAGATTGCAGGCATCTTCCCAGTTCATTGGACAGATGATCAAACCTTTATGTGAACCTAGGGTCAAAAAGGAACCACAAGATGCTTTATTGAAAACAATTTTAACAATTATTACAAGAAGGGAAGCAGAAATGGGAATGCAGGGGGCAGGGGGTAGAACAGAACAATTCCCTCTGTGTCTAGATAGAGAATTAAAATCACTGAACACAAGTCCTCATATTCTTAGAGAAGTGAAAGAAGATGGAAAAACACGATGGTGTTTGTTCTGGACCCTTAAATCTAAGGAATTACCTGGCATGGTCAGGCCTGTTCGGAGCACAAGGGTTGGTGTGAAAGCATTCAGGGTTTGCCTTAGGGCAGCCACATCCTGCCTGAGCTTCAGGCCCTTGCTTTCATTTGGCAAACATGGGATGTAGCTGCTCATGTTAATGTGACTGTGGGTTTCACCTGCACCTTCCACCTCACTGTGTACCAAGCCACTGATGCATGTGGAGAAAAAGTGAATTCCTTTCTCAGTGAGTTTAACCCGAGAAGATCCTGAAATTCCTCAGGCTCTGAGTCTCTTGATGCTTCACCTTCTTTGCCATCAGTGCTCAAGCCAACCATCTCCCAGCAGGGGCATTCCTAGGGAGGGAAGCAGTGAAGTGCCAAGTCAGAAGTAGGAGGGGGAGAAAAAGGAAATGACTGGTATTTAAAAATAGTCAGCCCAGGAGGCATGAACCATGAACTGAAGAGAGATGCCAGAAGAAACCCAGACATGGCTTGGAATGCAAGAGAGAATGAATAATACAGATGCTTCCCTCCATGCCTGTGAGTGGGTGAAAATGATGTCACTGCTGCTGTGATCATGTAGGTCAGTGCTGGTGCATCACAGCCCTGGCAGTGCTTCTGTAGAGCAGAGAAGAAAAGGAATTCTTCTGGAATACATCCACAAATTGTTACTTCACTCTGTACCACAGAGCTATTGGATTCATGTCTGTGAAGAAGGATCTTCTATTCCCTTTCTTGGTGCTAGCACAGCCCCCATATCTGCAGTACTCTGCCAGCACTTGAAAATCATGGTAGCTTTCTCCCTAATCCAGAGAATCCAGAGAATCCAGCTGAACAGAGCACACTGCTGTTAACTTTTGTTCCAAAAGCATCAGGTGAAGAAGATCTGCTAAGTAAAGCTCGTGTGAAGATGTTTTGTGCTGGCATCTGTGCACAGTGAGGTTTGCTCTCTTGTCCCTCATGAACATGGGCAAAGGATTCCTTCCTCCTCATTCCCAAGGGTCCCAAGGCTAAAAAGTTCCCATTCCCTGTCTTGAACAGGTACCTCTGAGGCTGGGCTTTCATGACATCCAGCAGTTGCAAACAGCCCTTACTGACTTGTGACAGCAGATTACATGGGATGGGTAAAGCTCCCACCATCCCCAGCCACCCACTGGGTTATTTTTAAGTTGGATTTGTTCCCTGATCCAATGCTCGGCACAGCTCCACAAACAGCAGGGTTGGCACAAGAGTGGGAAAACTGCAGTCTGGGGCGGGTTGTGTTGCCACCACGTCATCAAACAGCAGACTGAGGGGAGCAGCAGCAAGTTAAGAGAAAGTAGAACAAGGGCATTAAGCAGAAATTACCTTTTTTTGCACATATTTCCAGAGGAGATCCAGCTTTTGAATCTTTTCCAAGCGTATGTCACACAGGTGGAATCAGTGCCCATCTCTTAAGTTCCTTTGAGGAGTGTACTGCTGTGCTCATCCCACTGAAGCTTTGGTTCCACCTGCTTTTCTTTCAGAAGCAGCATGAGTGTCCCAGTGCTCACATACCCCCTGTGCTCTGCCTGCTGTGGGTGCAACTCCAGCCTGAGGCAGATTGGGAAGTTTCAGTGGCTGAAGAGTAACAGTTCTCCAGTCTACCCTTGGCTGTTTTTAGCTGGGTCAGTTCCTGATCCAGTCCACTGCAGACACACCAACAGCTGTGTCAGTGTGACAGGAGGAAATGGAGGGAAGTGGAGGAGAGGCTTAGATGAGTTTAATCATCACTGGTACCAAATGGGAAAGCACAATCATGAGGGATTGCTTTAAATGCCTGGCAGCTGTTGTTTAAACTTCTCTGCAGCCACCTCTCCTACTACTTCTGCAAGAAACAAGGCCTAGGAAACTTCACAAGAAAGGAAATGCTGTTGTGTCTGGTTTAGCTGCACCTTTCTGCAGGAATCAGGGGAAGCCGGACGCAGGGAGCCTGAACAAGTCTGCTGGCAGGTAAAGCAGCAAGGGTTTCTCTCAGCTTGCCTACCTGTTGCAGCTTTGCCAGCCTGTACACTTAAAGGTCAAGTCCTGCAGAGATCAAAGTTTGCCAGGACAACAGCCAGGAGCAGCCAGAAGTGTGCAAAATGTGCTTAGAAAATGCTCTGGAGATGATGTGCTGGCCTTTTAAAGCAACACACGGCTTGCTTTGAAATGCTAAGAATTGTGGCAGAAGAACCAAGGGGCACCTTCTCTGCTCTGCTAAACAGTGGTGTGGTCATGTTTGTACCCTGGGATTCAGGGTAGCCCTGACTGCTTCAGCCTCTCTTCCTGCTCCTTCCATCCCTCTAGTATACACTTGCAGGTTGGGTAAACCAAGAAAAGTCAAAACCAAGTTGTAGCAGCTTGGCTTTGTCTCATGGGCTGCTGCTCTGGCAGGAAAGTTTTCTTGGCACAAATGGTTTGATTTAACACGGATAGACTTTGCTTTTCATTGTCTTCTTCCCTTTTGAGCCTTTTGCTGCTGGGATGCTCCCTCCTACTTTCTCTTGTTCGTCCCCAGTGGTGTGTTCCACAGGCAGCACAAGGGAGGGGATGGGGAGTCAGGAGTAATTTCCTCCTGTGCCCTCAGAGACTCCTACCCTGAATTTGTCTTTGCCCTCTGTGGGAA